TATACCAGATTTTGTCACTATGCTTCAGTTTTTGAATATTCACTGCAGCATAGGATGATAAGTTTTTACTGTTTTTTTTTTTTTTAATAAATTTTTAAAAATAAAACACACCGACAAAATTGTCACATCCTAAAGTTATAGCTAAGAAATTTTCTTAGAAATCATTGTTAGTGTTAAGAGTGTTCATCAGATGTGGTTACAAGAGGGAAGGAGAGCGATTGGTGGAATAATGAGGTAAAGAGAGTAGCAAGAGAAAAAGTTAGCATATGAGAAGTTTTTACAAAGTAGAAGTGATGCAAGGAGGGAGGACTATATGGAGAGAAAAAGAGAGGTTAAGAAGTGGTGAAGGAATGTTAAAGGAGAGCAAATGAGAGAGTGAGTGAGATACTATCAACAAATTTTGCTGAGAATAAGAAAAAAGTTTTGGAGTGAGATTCATAAGAAAGCCTAGGGAACAAATTGATTTGACAGTTAAAAATAGGAGGGGAGCGTTTTTAGATGGGGTTTGGGAAACATTTGGGGGAAAAGGACGGAAAATTTTTTGGAATGTTAAATTTTTGATGAAGGTAGGGAAGCTGTGATTTCGTGCTTTTGGGGGGGGGAGTGGGGAAGAACCCGTTGCGAGTTGGGGAAGGTGTGGAAGCGTGGGTAAATGAAAAGGGGGAAAACAGCTGGGTTGATGGGATAAAGACAAATGTTAAAATTTTGGGGGAGATATAGTTTTGGAATGGTTGGTTCTTTATTTAAATGTATGGAAGAGGGGAAGGTCCTGGACTGCGAGAGCATGCATTTTTCCTTTTTATAAGGGGAAAAAAGGGGAAAAAAAAGTGAAAAAAATTTGAGGGGGGAAAAACCTGTTGAGTATGAGGTCATAAGAGGCCCCAAACGCCAGGAGCAAGGGGGTAGTAACTCCTCCTGTATACATAACTAAATTTATAAAGAGAAACTTTCATTTTTCTTTTGGGGCCACCCTGCTTTTGTGGGATATGGCCTGTTTGTTGAAAGAAGCCCGTTGAGTATATCTGGTAAGTGTATAGTAGAGTTATTTTTGAAAGAATTAAGAGTAGACAGAGAGCAGAATCACAAATGAACAAGGAAGCTTTAGGAAGGGTAGGGGGCGTGTAGACAAAGTGTTTACATGAAGCATATAGGTGAACAGTATTTAGATAAGGGTAAAGAAGTTTTCGTTGCAGTTATGGATTTGGAAAAAGGCATATGATAGGGTGGACAGGAGAGCAGTGTGGCAGATGTTGCAAATATTTTTTTATTTATTAACACACTGGCCGATTCCCACCAAGGCAGGGTGGCCTGAAAAAGAAAAACTTTCACCATCATTCACTCCATCACTGTCTTGCCAGAAGGGTGCTTTACACTTCAGTTTTTAAACTACAACATTAACACCCCTCCTTCAGAGTGCAGGCACTGTACTTCTCATCTCCATGACTCAAGTCCGGCCTGCCGGTTTCCCTGAATTCCCTTCATAAATGTTACTTTGCTCATACTTCAACAGCACGTCAAGTATTAAAAACCATTCGTCTCCATTCACTCCTATCAAGTATGCTCACACATGCCTGCTGGAAGTCCAAGCCCCTTGCACACAAAACCTCCTTTACCCCCTCCCTCCAACCTTTCCTAGGCCGACCCCTACCCCGCCTTCCTTCCACTACAGACTAATACACTCTTGAAGTCATTCTGTTTCGCTCCATTCTCTCTACATGTCCGAACCACCTCAACAACCCATCCTCAGCCCTCTGGACAACAGTTTTGGCAATCCCGCACCTCCTCCTAACTTCCAAACTACGAATTCTCTGCATTATATTCACACCACACATTGCCCTCAGACATGACATCTCCACTGCCTCCAGCCTTCTCCTCGCTGCAACATTCATCACCCATGCTTCACACCCATACAGGAGTGTTGGTAAAACTATACTCTCATACATTCCCCTCTTTGCTTCCAAGGACAAAGTTCTGTCTCCACAGACTCCTAAGTGCACCGCTCACCCTTTTCCCCTCATCAATTCATGATTCACCTCATCTTTCATAGACCCATCCGCTGACACGTCCCACTCCCAAATATCTGAATACATTCACCTCCTCCATACTCTCTCCCTCCAATCTGATATCCAACCCTTTCATCACCTAATTTTTTTTGTTATCCTCATAACCTTACTCTTTCCTGTATTCACTTTTAATTTTCTTCTTTTACATACCCTACCAAATTCATCCCAACTTCTGCAACTTCTCTTCAGAATCACCCAAGAGCACAGTGTCATCAGCAAAGAGCAACTGTGACAACTCCCACTTTATGTGTGATTCTTTATCTTTTAACTCCACACCTCTTGCCAAAACCCTCGCATTTACTTCTCTTACAACCCCATCTATAAATATATTGAACAACCCGGTGACATCACACATCCTTGTCTAAGGCCTACTTTTACTGGGAAATAATCTCCCTCTTTCCTACATACTCTAACTTGAGCCTCACTATCCTCGTAAAAACTCTTCACTGCTTTCAGTTACCTACCTCCTATACCACATATCTGCAACATCTGCCACATTGTCCCCCCTATCCACCCTGTCATACACCTTTTCCAAATCCATAAATGCCACAAAAACCTCTTTAGCCTTATCTAAATACTGTTCACTTATATGTTTCACTGTAAACACCTGGTCCACACACCACCTACCTTTCCTAAAGCCTCCTTGTTCATCTGCTATCCTATTCTCCATCTTACTCTTAATTCTTTCAATAATAACTCTACCATACACTTTACCAGGTATACTCAACAGACTTATCCCCCTATAATTTTTGCACTCTTTTGTCCCCTTTGCCTTTATACAAAGGAACTATGCATGCTCTCTGCCAATCCCTAGGCACCTACCCTCTTCCATACATTTATTAAATAATAGCACCAACCACTCCAAAACTATATCCCCACCTGCTTTTAACATTTCTATCCTTATCCATCATCCCAGCTGCCTTACCCCCTTTCATTTTACCTACTGCCTCACGAACTTCCCCCACACTCACAACTGGCTCTTCCTCACTCCTACAAGATGTTATTCCTCCTTGCCCTATACACGAAATCACAGCTTCCCTATCTTCATCAACATTCAACAATTCCTCAAAATATTCCCTTCATCTTCCCAATACCTCTAACTCTCCATTTAATAACTCTCCTCTCCTATTTTTAACTGACAAATCCATTTGTTCTCTAGGCTTCCTTAACTTGTTAATCTCACTCCAAAACTTTTTCTTATTTTCAACAAAATTTGTTGATAACATCTCACCCACTCTCTCATGTTGCAAATGTATGGAATGAATGGTAGGTTACTGAAAGCAGTTAAGAGTTTTTATGAGGATAGTGAGGCTTAAGTTAGAGTATGTAGGAGAGAGGGAGACTACTTCCCAGTAAAAGTAGGCAGCCTTAGACTGGGATGTGATGTCACCATGGTTGGTCAATATATTTATAGATGGGGTTGTAAGAGAAGTGAATGCTTGGGTGTTGGCAAGAGGTGTGGGATTAAGAGAAAGAATCTAACACGAAGTGGGAGTTGTTAGAGTTGCTTTTTGCTGATGACACTGCTTTTGAGAGATTCTGAAGAAAAGTTGAAGAGGTTAGTGAAGGAGTTTGGAAGGGTATGTGAGAGAAGGAAATTAAAAATGAATGTAGGAAAGAGCAAGGTGATGAGGATAAAAATTTAGGTAATGAAAGATTAGATATCAGATTGGAGGGAGAGGGTATGGAGGAAGTGAATGTGTTGAGATATTTGGAAATGGACTCGTCAGCAGACGGGTCTATGAAAGACGAGGTGAATCGTAGAATTTATGAGGGAGGTGAGGGGGAAGGGTGAGTGGAGCACTGAGGATTTATGAGGGGGGAGGGGGAAGGGTGAGTGGAGCACTGAGGATTTATAAGGGAGGGGGAAAAGGGTGAGGGGAGCATTGAGGAGTGTGGAGACAAAAAACACATTATCCATGGAAGTGAAGAGGGGAATGTATAGTGGTACTAATGCTCTTATGTGGGTGCAAAGCATGGGTGGTGAATGTTGAAACAAGGAGAAGGCTGCAGGCAGTGGAGATGTGTCTGAGGGCAATGTGCAGTGTGAATATAATCCTTGGAGATTAGGAGGTGCAAGGAAGGGTTGTTGAGGTGGTTCAGACATTTACAGAGGCTAGAACAAAATAGAATGACTTGGAAGGCATATAAATCTGTAGTGGAAGGAAGGCAAGGTAGGGGTCATCCTAGGAAAAGTTGGAGGGAGGGGGTAAAGAGGTTTGTGTGCAAGGGGCTTGGACTTCCAGCAAGCATGCATGTGTTAGGAGTGGAAACAAATAGTTTTTATAACTTGACATGCTGTTGGAGTGCGAGCAAAGTGATATTTATGAAGGGATTCAGGGAAACCAGCTAGTCGGACTTGAGTCCTGGAGGTGGCAAGTACAGCGCTGTGCTCTGAAGGAGGAGTGTTGATATGTTGCAGTTTTTTAACTGTAATGTAAGCATGCCTATGGCAAGACAGTGACAGAATGAATGCTGATGAAAGTGTTTCTTCTTTTTCGGGTCACCTTGCCTCAGCAGAAAACGGCCAGTGTGTTAATAAATTTTTTTTTTTTTGGGTTGGAAAACTTTTTAACTCCTTTAGTCAAACTCATGCATCAGGGCACTCCTCTTGAAAAGGATCTATGGAGAAGTCTTTCAGCAATAGCTAAAATTATTTCTCTGGCCCCCAAGGAATTGGGCTTGCCTCCCTTCCTTGGATCATATCTTAATGCCACCCATTCTCCCAGGTGATGTATGACCCCAATGAGTTTAGTAATAATCTTCTCTGGCCCAACATTATTTTGTGGGTAGCTTTATACTTATTTATCAGAAATGTATAAATAAGATTTTATTATTATTCTGTATTTATATATTTCTCTTAGACAATTATAACTTTAAAACTAATAATCATTTGTATTATGTTTTTGATATTTAGGATTTTGCATTTCATTACAGGGGACCTGACTTCTATCATACCTGTTACACATTAAGTGGTATGTCAGTAGCACAACATTTTTCCACACCTGCAATACACAAAAAATGTATAGTGGGACATCCTTCCAATGAATTGGTAAGTCTAGTACTGTAATTGTAGTATTTTTTTTGTAAATGATACATGTGTAGTAGGTTGGTAGACAGCAACCACCCAGGGAGGTACTACCGTCTTGCCAGGTGAGTGTAAAACGAGAGCCTGTAATTGTTTTACATGATGGTAGGATTGCTGGTGTCTTTTGTCAGTCTCATAAATATGCAAGATTACAGGTATGTCTTGCTACTTCTACTTACACTTAGGTCACACTATGCATACATGTACACGTTTATTTATACACACTCATCTGAGTTTTCTTTGATTTTATCTTAATAGTTCTTGTTCTTATTACTCTTCCTTTTATATCCGTGGGGAAGTGGAATAAGAATCTTTCCTCCGTAAGCCATGCGTGTTGTAAAAGTCAACTAAAATGCCGGCAACAATGAGCTAGTAACCCCTTTTCCTGTACAGATTACTAAAAAGAAGAAGAAGAAAATTTTCAAAGTGGGATGTCTAAATGTGCGTGGATGTTGTGTGAATGATAAGAAAGAGATGATTGTGGATACTATGAATGAGAAGAAGCTGGATGTCCTGGCTTTAAGTGAAACAGAGCTAAAGGGGATCAGGAGAGTTTCAGTGGAGAGAAGTAAATGGGATTAGGTCAGGGGTTTCAAATAGAGTGAAAGCTAAAGGAGTAGCAATAATGTTGGAGGATAAGCTATGGCAGGAAAAGAGTATAAATGTATTAATTCAAGGATTATGTGGAGTAAATTAAAGGTTGGATGTGAAAAGTGGGTTATAGTAAGTGTATGCACCTGGAGAAGAAAGTGTAGAGGAGAGAGAGAGAGAGAGAGAGAGAGAGAGAGGTTTTAGGAATTGTTGAGTGAGTGTGTGGGGAGTTTTGAACCAAGTGTGAGAGTACTTGTGGTTGGGGATTTCAATGCTAAAGTGGGTAAAAATGTTGTGGAGAGAGTAGTAGGTAAATTTGGGGTGCCAGGGATAAATGAAAATGGGGAGCCTTTAATTGAGCTATGTATAGACAGAGGTTTGGTAATAAGTAATACATGTTTTATGAAAAAGAGGATAAATAAATATACAAGGTATGATAGAGCACATTATGAGAGTAGTTTGTTAGATTATGTATTGGTGGATAAAAGGTTGATGGGTAGGCTCCAGGATGTACACGTTTATAGAGGGGCAACTGATATATCGGATCATTATTTAGTTGTAGCTACAGTTAGAGTAAGAGGTAGATGGGACAAAAGGAAAATGGCAACAACAAGTAAGAGAGAGGTGAAAGTGCATAAACTAAGGGAGGAAGAAGTTCGGGTGAGATATAAGCAACTATTGGCAGAAATACACAAATAACCCGCACATAAAAGAGAGAAGCTTACGACGACGTTTCGGTCCGACTTGGACCATTGACAAAGTGTGACTTTGTCAATGGTCCAAGTCGGACCGAAACGTCGTCGTAAGCTTCTCTCTTTTATGTGCGGGTTATTTGTGTATCGTTCCAGTCACGGTATTGTGCCTTTTTTGTTATTTATTGGCAGAAAGGTGGGCTAGTGCAAGTATGAGTAGTGTGGGTGTTGAAGAGGGTTGGAATAGTTTTAAAAATGCAGTATTAGAATGTGGGGCAGAAGTTTGTGGCTATAGGAGGGTGGGTGCAGGAGGAAAGAGGAGTGATTGGTGGAATGATGAAGTAAAGGGTGTGATAAAAGAGAAGAAGGTAGCTTATGAGATGTTTTACAAAGCAGAAGTGTTATAAGAAGAGCAGAGTATATGGAGAGTAAAAGAAAGGTGAAGAGAGTGGTGAGAGAGTGTAAAAAGAGAGCAGATGATAGAGCAGATGATAGGGAACAAATGGATTTTTCAGTTAAAAACAGAGTAGGGGAGTTAGTAGATGGGGAGATGGAGGTATTGGGTAGATGGCAGGAATATTTTGAGGAACTTTTAAATGTCGACAAGGAAAGGGAGGCGGTAATTTCATGCACTGGCCAGGGAAGTATACCATCTTTTAGGAGTGAAGAAGAGCAGGATGTGAGTGTAGGGGCTTGGACTTCCAGCAAGCATGCTTGAGCGTGTTAGATAGGAGTGAATGGAGACGAATGGTATTTGGGACCTGATGAGCTGTTGGAGTGTGAGCAGGGTAATATTTAGTGAAGGGATTCAGGGAAACCGGTTATTTTTATATAGCCGGACTTGAGTACTGAAAATGGGAAGTACAGTGCCTGTACTTTAAAGGAGGGGTTTGGGATATTGGCAGTTTGGAGGGATATGTTGTGTATCTTTATATGTATATGCTTCTAAACTGTTGTGTTCTGGGCACCTCTGCAAAAACAGTGATTATGTATGAGTGAGGTGAAAGTATTGAATGATGATGAAAGTATTTTCTTTTTGGGTCACCCTGCCTCGGTGGGAGACGGCCAACTTGTTAAAAAAAAAAAGTAAAATAAGAAGAATATTTCAGTATGGAAGAATATAAGTTACAAAACCATAACTGGAACAATGTACAACTAAAACATAAATTTGAGGTATAGCTAGAGGACATTTTGGTTCACCCTGGACAGTGACTTGATTATGTTTGAGTTTCATCACCAAGTGAGTTAGTTGTGAATTCTACAGTAGAGTAGTATTTCAGTGATCATACCATCCACTAAACCATATATAGTGGACCCCCAGTTAACGATATTTTTTCATTCCAGAAGTATGTTCAGGTGCCAGTACTGACCGAATTTGTTCCCATAAGGAATATTGTGAAGTAGATTAGTCCATTTCAGACCCCCAAACATACACGTACAAATGCACTACATAAATACACTTACATAATTGGTTGCATTGGGAGGTGATTGTTAAGCGGGGGTCCACTGTATATCTGTTATAGATAAAATTTTCAAGACTTGCACTGCACTCCACTTTTTCGTGTAATATTAAATTTTACTGCATCTGAGAGTAATTTTGTGTTTACAACTTTTCAATAGTGTACTATATGCTTATTGTGCATGAAATTTATGGATATTGTACTATAATTCACATATTGAATACACTGTATATTGAATAAACTGGACATTCATCTAATTCATAGCTTTTTATGAATGTGGCACTGTATATTTATGCCTTTTTATTAAGTTTTGCTCAGGCATATAGTAATACATTTGAAATGCCCGCATATTGTCATGAAATCTGCTTTGTTTTTCTACTTTTCTTAGTACATACTGTAATACCAGGTGCATACAGTAAATTGGGGCCTGACTGTATAAGGATTTAAACCTTCCCTGCTTTTTACCTGAAGCATTGGTCTATAATGAATTCTAGTGTATTTGATCCAACTTTTATTTACCATATATGAAGGAAGAGGTAAACCATAGAATTGATGAAGGAAAAAAGGTCGGTGGTGCATTGAGGTATCTGTGGAGACGAAAAACATTATCCATGGAGGCAAAGAAAGGAATGTGCGAGATTATAGTGGTCCCAGCACTATTATATGGGTGCGAAGCATGGGTTGTGACTGTTGCAGGTTGGAGGCAGTAAAGATGTGTCTAGGGCAATGTGTGGCATAAATATTATGCAGAGAATTCGTAGTGTGGAAATTAGGTGTGGAGTTACGAACAGTATTATTCAGAAGGCTGAGGATGGGTTCAGGTGATTTGGTCATTTAGAGAGAATGGAGCACAATAGGATGACATGGAGGGAAGGAGGGGTAGGGGTCATCCTTGGAAAGGATGGAGGGAGGGGGTAAGAGAGGTTTTGTGTTTAAGGGGCTTGGACATACAGCAGGTATGTGTGAGCTTGTTAGATAAGAGTGGAGGCAAATAGTTTTTGAGATTTGATGAGCTGTTGGAGTGTGAACAGGATAATATTTTCTGAAGGAATTCCACGAAACCAGTTAGCCGAACATGAGTCCTGGAGGTGGGACGTACAATGCCTGCACTTTAAAGGAGGGGTTTGGGATATGTGCTGTTTAGAGTGACATCTGAACTGTGTATCTGCATGTCTCTGCAAAGACAGTATGAATGACGGTGATTTTTTTTTTTTTTGGGGGGGGGGGGGGTCACCCTGCCTCAGTAGGACACAGCCAGAGTGTTTAAAGAAAACAAAAATTTTTTTGCATATATATTTAGATTTACAAAATTGTAGCTATGGTATTTTAAATTTTAAGGTAATTTTAATAAATGTCCATGAGACTAGGAGCAGAAGAGCATAAATTTATTTTTATTTTAAACAGGCAACTGTGCACCCTCTCTTCAACATTGGCGTTGAGTCAGCCGTGTCAGCTACACAGTATTTTAATAATTTACCTCGGCTTCAGTTGAGGCAACGCAGTAAAACTAATGACAATATCAACAACGAAGAATCCCAGGTTCAAACGTAGGGGTGATTTTACTTGTAGGGGCATATTATGAAATACGTTTTCAAGTTTTCCTATGATTCATCTATGAATGAAGTAGCAAGAAATATTGTAAATATTGTATAAAAAAAAAAGATACTGAAGTTCTGCGATCACATTTCCTGGAAAATTGTAAAACATGGAATAAATTAAAGCTCATGAATGAGTGCTTGTTACCAACATATTGCACAAGATCTTTGTTTAAGAACTTTGTAGAACAGTTACCTAGGGAAACAACAGAATTGCTTTAGTTGGAATTGAACTGAAAAATATATGTTTAAGCAATTCTAAAACTATTCTGGGATTTTTATGTATAATTTTTATACAGTAATGTAAACTTGTATGTTTGTTATGTGGATAGGAGTATTATGTTAAGGAAGATATTAAGAATTTGCCAAGGCATATTTGTAGACTAAGTGGTATCTGTGATTTAATTGTGATATTCTTGTCATGATATTGTAACATCTGGATTGAGTTCTCGACATACTGATAGTCATGTAGTAATGCTCTTCCACTATATTATATCTACATCAAATGCCTTATCATGTGTTCAAACTATTGTGGCACTTCAGAGAATCTTAAACTATTGTGGCTGCTGACCATCTTTGCAACTCTAATGATTTGACTCCATTACCATATCATGAAGAATTTTGTGTATTAATTTGTTTGAAATGTGTGTGAAACAGTTTTCACTTCTTTGCAACAATACTTAAAAATGTATGAAGAATGATGGATGTCTCAAGTATACTATACATATATGAGACAGATTTTTGTATTGTATTGTTTCAAATTTCCTTAAATAAAATAAAGGTTTAATTTTTTAAGATTTTAAACTTAAATGTTAAATACTAACAGTACCATATTTCACTTGTATCAATAAACTTTGGGCATGCTGACAGGCATTATTAAAAAGCAAAATCTGTGCAGATTTATGTAAACAAAATTATTTTTTTATATAAGGATAGCTTGGTATCAGATAGACAAGATTTTCAATTTTAAATTTGAACTTCAGATTTGACTGTAAAAAAATACTAGTGTTGTGGCGACCCAGATGTTTATTACTTAACTGTGGCATGAGTATTAATATATAGAATATAAGCTGACCAGGGCTATGACAGCTTAACCTAGAACATACATCCTCTTACATGTTCTTTGTGTAACTTTCATGCTCCTTTATGTGGGAAAACTCTTACATTTTATTACTTGAAGTTAATTATTATAAATAACAATCATTTTGTCATGAACTTGTTAATTATGGATTATGTAAATAGTGAGGTACTGCCTGCACACATTTATTTATAATTAGAAAATTGACCTTGCATCTCAGGGATATGCCAATTTCAATCTTATACTTTCTTAAATGTGATTTTCAAAACTAAAGAACTTGAAAATATTGTGAAAAGTGAATGTTTTTTTCCTCATATGAAGTAAGATTTTGGGTTATTTTTCCCTTTAGGGATATTATTATCTAATACTGAAATTTGTATTTGCCTTGATACATACCAGCTACAATGCAGACAATAACTAGCTCAGGTTTGTTGTGTACAGTTACTTCCAATCCATATGTATTTGTTGATGTATACCAAATCTTTAAGTGAATTTCTACTCAGGTGGGTATATGGTGACCTATGATCTTATTAATTAAAAAATATACGGGTCTCCCTCACTTTGCGACAGAAGCATTCCTGGCCCCCATGGTGCATAAAATGAATTTCCATAATATAAACCTATTATAACATAAAACATATGGAGTTGTTCTGAGGCTTTGTACATTCCACATTTCTTGGCTGGTGTTTGCCCTCCCCCCTCCCCTCAAAAAAAAAAAAAAAGTTTATTCCACATGCACCAAGTAATCATGAAAAGAAATTGTGATTGAAATGTGACTGAGAAAAAATAAAATAAACTCAATCACAGTCCTTGTGCAATATAAAATTAAGAAAGAATTCTACTTTTTTTAATAGCACACCAGATAGGCACCAAATGGCCATATTTCAAAATAAATGAAATTGTTCGAAAATCAAGTGAGAAAAAATTACATAAATTAAAAATTCAATCATAATCTTCCTCCTTTTACTGTACCTCCTCCCTCCACCACCAATCACTCAGCATGTCTCTGTGGATTGAACTGCACACTATACACATGAATGCATATCTCTCTAAATATTATTATTATTATTATTATTATAATCAAGGGGAAGCGCTAAACCCATAGGATTATACAGCGCCTGGGGGGGGGATGTGGAAGGCATTCAGGTTTAATTCGGGGAACTAGAGCACAGATCCAATTCCCTAAATTAAGAGCCCCTCACCAACATCAAGGAACCTTCCCTGAGGGGTCTCCCTAATATAGAAAATGAAAGCAATCAAAAATTTAGGCAAAATACATCTAGTACTGGGCACCTGCTAAAGCAAGATGGATCTTACACTCATGATAATACAGAAATGCAAGAAATATTGAGGTCTCAGAATGATTGTTTTCAGTGAACATTAATCAGACTTAAGGTTGACAACTTGAATGAATTCTTTATAAACAAGACTCAAAACTCTGTTGATGTCTCCAAAATTTGACATAACCCTAACTACATGTTTTTTTTTTTTTTTTTTTTTTTTTTTTCAACAAGTCGGCGTTCCCACCAGTCAGGGGTACCAAATAGAAAGAAAATCCCAAAAGAAAATACCCTTTATCATATAACACTTTCACCACACTCGACACATTATCACGTTTTTGCAGAGGTGCTCAGAATCCACAGTTTAGAAATACATATAAGGGTACACAACATATCCCCAAACTGCCAATATCCAAAACCCTCCTTTAAAGTGCAGGCATTGACTTCCCATTTCCAGGATCAGTCCGACTATATGAAAATAACCGGTTTCCCTGAATCCCTTCACTAAATATTACCCTGCTCACACTCCAACAGATCGTCAGGTCCCAAGTACCATTCGTCTCCATTCACTCCTATCTAACACGCTCACGCACGCATTGGCTGGAAGTCCAAGCCTTACCCTACAAAACCTCCTTTACCCCTCTCTCCAACCCTTTCGAGGACGACCCTACCCCGCCTTCCTTCCCCTATAGATTTATATGCTTCCATGTCATTCTACTTTGATCCATTCTCTCTAAATGACCAAACCACCTCAACAACCCCTCTTCTGCCCTCGACTAATACTTTTATTAACTCCACACTTCTCCTAATTTCCACACTCCGAATTTTCTGCATAATATTTACACCACACATTGCCCTTAAACAGGACATCTCCACTGCCTCCAACCGTCTCCTCGCTGCTGCATTTACCACCCAAGCTTCACACCCATATAAGAGTGTTGGTACTACTATACTTTCATACATTCCCTTCTTTGCCTCCATAGATAACGTTTTTTGATCCACATATACCTCAACGCACCACTCACCTTTTTTCCCTCATCAATTCTATGATTAACCTCATCCTTCATAAATCCATCCGCCGACACGTCAACTCCCAAGTATCTGAAAACATTCACTTCTTCCATACTCCTCCTCCCCAATTTGATATCCAATTTTTCTTTATCTAAATCATTTGACACCCTCATCACCTTACTCTTTTCTATGTTCACTTTCAACTTTCTACCTTTACACACATTCCCAAACTCATCCACTAACCTTTGCAATTTTTCTTTAGAATCTCCCATAAGCACAGTATCATCAGCAAAAAGTAACTGTGTCAATTCCCATTTTGAATTTGATTCCCCATAATTTAATCCCACCCCTCTCCAAACACCTAGGCATTTACTTCCTTAACAACCCCATCTATAAATATATTAAACAACCATGGTGACATTACACATCCCTGTCTAAGACCTACTTTTACCGGGAAATAGTTCTCCCTCTCATTCTACACAACCCTAACCTGAGCCTCACTATCTTCATAAAAACTCTTTACAGCATTTAATAACTTACCACCTATTCCATATACTTGCAACATCTGCCACATTGCTCCTCTATCCACTCTATCATATGCCTTTTCTAAATCCATAAATGCAATAAAAACTTCCCTACCTTTATCTAAATACTGTTCACATATATGCTTCAATGTAAACACTTGATCTACACATCCCCTACCCACTCTGAAACCTCCTTGCTCATCCGCAACCCTACATTCTGTCTTACCTCTAATTCTTTCAATTATAACCCTACCGTACACTTTTCCTGGTATACTCAGTAAGCTTATTCCTCTATAATTTTTTACAGTCTCTTTTGTCCCCTTTCCCTTTATAAAAAAGGGGACTATACATGCTCTCCGCCAACCCCTAGGTACCTTCCCCTCTTTCATACATTTATTAAAACAAAGTACCAACCACCTCCAACACTATATCCCCCCCTGCTTTTAACATTTCTGTCATGATCCCATCAGTACCAGCTGCTTTCCCCCCTTTTCATTTTACGTAATGCTCACGTACCTCCCCCACACTTACATTCTGCTCTTTTTCACTCCTAAAAGATGGTATACCCCCCTGACCAGTGCATGAAATTACTGCCTCTGTTTCTTCCTTAACATTTAAAAGTTCCTCAAAATATTCTCGCCATCTACCTAATACCTCCATCTCCCATCTACAATCCCCTACTCTGTTTTTAACTGACAAACCCCCATTTTTTTCCCTTTGGGCTTTCTTAACTTGTTTAACTCACTCCAAAATTTTTTCTTATTTTCATTAAAATTTCTTGACAGTGCCTCTCCCACTACATGTAACCTTATAAAATCCATTGACAGGATGCCCATGTACTCTACCTCAGGCCCAAACTCGTGGTACTTCATGTTCAGAAAGAACTGCAGGAAACCTTTAAAAATTTTATGGACAGGGAACCTAGATATGAGGGGATCAACCCACAGCTGTTAAAAACAATGGATACAGCCCTGTTCCACCAAAGTGGCAGCAAAACAAAAGCAAATATCTATAGGCACTAATATCCCACATTATAAAAACCATGGGTGTTTTAAGAAGCAAATCAGTAGCAACACAGATTCATAACACTTGCGCAACCCAGAGCAGCATGCGTATGGAGCAGGATGCTTCTTCACTCCTAGACCATTACAACATGGTCTTAGATACACTGGAGGACAAGATGTGGGTGTATTATACTCAGACTTTGTAAAAAATCTTTGACAAGTGCAATCATGGTGTAACAGCACACAAAATGTGTGCAAAAGGAATAACTGAAAAAATGGGTATATGGATTTTTAACATTCTAACAAATAAGATGCAAAGAGCAAGGGTAAAAAGAATTAAGTCAAGAGGCTGCCATAGTAAAAAGTTCTGTTCCTAGGGCAAAGTATTCACCTTTATCCTTTTCCTCATCCTCTTATCCTACAGACAGACCTAAATCATAGTGCTGTATCATCCTTTGCAGACAATACTAGAATTTGCATGAAATATTCATTGAGGACACTACAAATCTCCAAGTAGACATAAACTAAGTCTTCCAGTGGACCATTGAAAACAATATGATGCTCAATGAGGATAAATTACATTCACTTTATGGAAAAATGAGGAAATAAAAGCTAAAATGGAGTATGAAAGTAACCACTCAATAGAGTGAAAAAGGAAGGACGTATGATTTATAAGGTTGGACGATTTCGCTTTCAAGGGTCTTGACACTATTATCACAACAGCAATGAAAACGATAGGATGAATAATGAGAATCTGTAGAGCAGATGCCAAGCCAGTGATGGTCCTCTTTATGTCACTTGTCTTCTCTAGGCTGGGATGTTACTGTACATTAACAACCCCCTGTAAGGTGTGCAAAATTGTAAGTCTAGAGATTGTACAAAGAACTTTCACTGCACATCAGATTCAGTGAAGCACCTAAATTATTAGAAATGTTTGAAGTCGTCTACTTGTATTGCTTGGAATGCAGCTGAGAATGATACAATATAATTTACACCTGTAAAATCCTAGAGGAACCGATCCTAAATGTGTGCACAGAAATCACTCCCTGTGAAAGCGAGACTTGACAGATGGTCCAATATACAGTACTCCCAATGAAAAGCAGGGATGCCATGAGTACACTAAGAGATAACACATTAAGTTTAAGTGGCCCAAGACACATCAACATTTTTCCATCATACATAAAGGGAATTATCAACAAACCCCTGTGTTTAAGAGGGAACTTGATAAGTTCAAATCAGTTCCTGATCAGTGAGGCTATGGTTGATATGTCAGACTGCATATCTCTAGTAGTAACAATTGGGTTAATCAGGCCTTAATCCATCAGGAGGCCTGGTTTGGGCCAAGGCTGTGATCCCTCAAAAATATCCTTTAGGTATCCCAAGGCCTGATTTAGTGTAAGTGCAACCCAACTTCAACTAGCCAAAAATCTGTTTTCTTCATTCAAATTGACAACTATGTATACTATGTTATTCAAAATATGTTAATTGGTTTTCTCACACTCAAATTTCCTTTCTTTTCAAATCTTACTTCTGAATGTCAGTATAAATATTGTTTAAAACCAAGTGATGCTGTGCTTGGGTTAGTCTGGCTGGGATTACATTCTCCTTTGACTTGAATTTCCCAAACCCAAATCTTTTCTTTCTGTTAGTCTTTCTTATATCAATATAAGCCAGTTTAGAGCAATATTTAAAGAATAATTTTTACAAAATTTTGTGATTCTGGGCTTAGATGATTACATAAGAGCACATTTATTCCACTATGTCGAATTACCAGTGGAAATAGGATTGCCACATACGAGTGCATCTGCATGAAGCAAAACTGCATAAAGAGGGAAATTTGTATGTTAATGTGTTGATGTGGGATATTTGTGTTGAAAGCACAGAACTGATATATTCTGTAATTTGATCATATTTTGATAAGCATTAACTTGAAATTCTTCACTAGATATTGTTTTTAAACCTGGTAATATTATATATTACAGTATATTTCACATGTGGATTTTTTTACCATTTAAGTTAAGATTTGCCTTAACATTTTAGCTAATTGAACTGTCAGTTTTTACCCTATTTATAGCAAGTAAATGATTGCTTCATGATTTTTGTATTTAAAGTTTTAATGAAACTACACACTGC